AAAAAAAAAAAGAAAAGAAAAGAAAAGAAATGTTACAGAGAATACAAAAATCTCAAGGTCTCATTTTTCCTTTTTTCTCTAATCTATATTTTCTGACTTCCTTTGTAAAATATTTCATTCATCAGGCAAACATTTGTTGCATCTGACATGCCAGGCACAGTGCTCACTATGTAGAAAGGAAGTATTCCTATGATGGTTAGATAATAGATGGCTCTTGGTTCTTTTGCTAGGTCCTTGTCCATCTTGTTTTCTTCCACCCTGTTCATAATGTTATTCATCCGCCCACTCACCCCAACTGAAACCCCCGGCACGGGAGGGAAACCTGTGGACTTCTAAGTCCTTAAGTACAGCATTTTGATTGAATCCAAAGTTTACAGAACAAATCTTTTTATTAAAAGGGGTGTGGCAGAGAAAGATGAAGGTTTTCTCGCCTCCTTTGGTGCTTAAAAAAGAACACTCAGAAGGCTGCAGGTTCCCCACCCATGGCTGCCTTTAATTTTTTCTCCTTATCAATTCTGTGTATTAGGATTGAATTTAATCTTCCTAAATTAGTGACCATCTCCTCCAGTATAAAGTTCATACTCCTTCACCTGGATTTCAGTCTGTTACCACTTAGCTTCTAATGATCTTTTTCCTCTGACACTCAACTGTACTCTTACTATTCCCTTCCTTCCAGCCACACTGGGCTACCCAAGATTCTCTCAGTGCTTAAAAGCACTTTTCTTGCCTCTCTGTCTCACTAATGTCTTTGTTCGTGCATCCAACTCTACCTGCCCTTCAAGTGCCACCTTTTATGCCACTTTTTCATTGAAGATGTTCCTGATCTGCATGTTCATTCCTTTTCACCCTCCTAGCCAAGAGTGATTGTTCCCTTTTCTGAATGGGTTTCTTACCTCATTGAACTTATACATCTTTTCATCTCCCACAGCAACTAATATTGGGTCCTCAGTGGGTGTTTATTGACTAAACAAATTCAGCTTAAGCTAAAACAGGGTAGGAACTATAACTGTTTCATTCTTGTTCTGTATTTATAGCCCACAGCACATAGGAAACACTCAAACATTTATTAAGTAAATAATCAGTCATTGGGACATAAATTACCTGATGGCATAATAGATAGCTAGAAATACTTTGTTATATTTTTTAAATTTTACTTATGTTTTATATTAACAGGTATGCTACATAAATATTATGTATTAATATTCTCACTTTACAAAAGAGGAATTGAAACTTAAAGAAATTAAGTGTGTTATGATCACACAGCCAATTAATAACAAAATTGAGTCTAAAATTCAAGTCTTCGAATGTGAACTTTAGAGTGCTTTTTCTCAGCCAACGGTGGTTTAGTTCTATTTGCATTCAAATTTTTGGAGTTAAATAGTTGGAGTCATGCTGTATGGAATAGAATTAGGGCTTTGATTAACCTTTTGTCTGTGTATTGCATATCTTAAAAATCAAACAAATAAAACATAAAAACTATCTATTCATGAAGAAAATCTTAGCCCTACCTGCAAACACTCTCTCCAGGGTGAGAGATGACTTTTTTTTTTTTGAGACAGAGCCTCAAGCTGTCCCCCTGGGTAGAGGGCTGTGGCATTACAGCTCACAGCAACCTCCAACTCCTGGGCTCAAGCGAGTCTCCTGCCTCCGCCTCCCAAGTAGCTGGGACCACAGGCGCCTGCCACAACGCCCGGCTATTTTTTGGTTGCAGCCATCATTGTTGTTTGGCGGGTCCGGGCTGGGGATTCGAACCCGCCACCTTAGGTGTACGTGGCTGGCGCCTTAGCCTGTTGAGCTATAGGCGCTGAGCTGAGAGATGACTATTTAGGCAGTCTTCTCCCCTCTTCCTAGCTGAGTTAGCTGTTAAGGTGTAAGTATGATTTCAGCAGGCAGCATAGAGAGCATGTCTCCAGATATTTGTCAAACTGTGCAATCTCACACTAACCACATTTGTTGCATCTGATATGCCAGGCACAGTGTGCAGTGCAGTGTACATCGAAGGCATGGGGGAGAAATGCTGTAGCCAGGGAGCCTTGCTTGACACTCTTACAAAGTTACACACCTTAGATGCAGTCAGATCAACAAGCTGATTGCCTAGTCTTTACCCACTTTCTTTTATTATAGTGATTCCTGTTTTCCCATTTGCCGTCAGGCTAAGTATTAAGGATCATTATAGGAAACAATCTTATGAAACTATTGCATCTATCATAAGGATATTGTGAGACTATTCATTATAATACACTGTCTTCTTTCATTAAAATTTCTTGAGAAGAAACTGACCTTAATACAAAGACTTCCTTTACCTCTCTGGAGCAATTGCTCTGCTTCTACCTTATGAACATTGTGAATGTTTAACTTAACTCTCTGGTTTGCTGCCAAGAAAGCTTAGAGCCAAATTTGTGGCCCACCCATAACAAATGTGCTCAATGCCTCATTAACTTCATTCCTGGCTCCAGTTTATATCTCTGCTCTATTTTTTCTTTTCTCTTAAGAAAATCTTAATTCATACTATCTTATTATACATGTATTATTTTCATACACAGCCTTTATATTGTCTCTGAAGTAGTTCAGATTATGATATACAGCATGTACATAAAACCATCTTGGATGCCTCATCAGTACTTCCTTTACTTTAGTTTTTTTTTTTTTTGAGACAAGTCTCACTTTGTTGCCCTTGGGTAGAGTGCTATAGTGTTATAGCTCACAGCAACCCTAGACTCTGGGGCTTAAGCAGTCCTCTTGCCTGAGCCTCCCGAGTAGCTAGGACTATAGGTGATCACCATGACGCCCGGCTATTTTTAGAAATTGGGTCTCACTCTTGTTCAGGCTGGTCTGAGCTCAAGTAATCCTCCCACCTCTGCCTCCCAGGTGTGCTAGGATCATAGGCATGAGCCACACACAGCCAATAGATTTATTTTTATATAGATTTTTGTGGAGTTTAGATTACATGAAAATGGTTATATCACAAAATGTTACCGTTTTAATAGTATAATTAAGTGGTAAAGTAATAGGTCTAATGGCCATAATTGATTAACTTTTGATGTCCTTGTCTTTCTCAACAATCTGTTTTCTCTCAATCTGCATGTGACAGTTTATTGCTGTGTGATTTTTAGAAATATAGTTGTGCTGCCAGGTGAGTGCACAACAATTAATTTTCTTTTAACTCTGTTGAGTCTGTTAGGCTCATATGTGGTATCACCTTCTGCACCCATCAGACTTCTTGTCTTTTTTTTTTTTTTGCAGTGAGATTTGAACCTGCCAGATTTTGGAGCCAGATTTGAACCTGCCACCTCCAGTATATGGGGCTGGCGCCCTACTGCTTGAGCCACAGGTACTGCCCCAGACTTCTAGTCTTTTTAGCACCCTACTTTGAGCGATCAGAAGCATATTAATCTTCTCATGCAATTTTTCTTGCTTCTGCTATAAGTTAGTCATTCTCTTATTTGGAAAAGATAATGTGGATGTATATTAGTTTCTAATTACTGATTCTGTTTACTTTGAATGCTTTGGAGCCATATCTGGATTTTCTTATTGTCTTGCTAGTATATTTAATTGATAACATAAGTATTATTTGTGTAATTTTTTAAAACTATTCTGATACCTTCAAGTAAAATTATTTAGACTTCTCTATAAGTCCCTGAGGTATATGAGGCAAATATATTCCCTTTTTACAGATGAGTAAAAGAAGGACTAAATCATTTAAATGACAAGATGATATTAGTAAATCAGTGGTAAAAATAGGACTAGACCCAGGTCTGATTACTATGCTGTGCTCCTTTTTACAGCATCCAAAGAAGTTCTCATTTACATTGTAAACATTATATCACCTGTATCATACCCCTTGAGGTAAGGATGGGAAATGGGCAAAGGTTAAGTTTTATCAGTCATGTTCATAGCTGAGCAGACTCAGAAATGAATTTCATTTGATTACTCTCATGATTTTCTGTTCTTGAAATTATAGTTCCTTTTTTTAACTCTAACCCTAATCACTGTCACTTTCCATTATGGAAGGAGGAAGCAATATTTTATTTTATTTCTTGAAAATTAATGTTGAAATAGAAACTGTTTTTATAGTTAACCTTGAACAACCTAGGGGTTAGACATCCCAATCCCCTGTGCAGTCACGAATCCATGTATAACTTTTAACTCTCTAAAATTTTATTAATAGTCTACTGTTGACCAAAAGTAATGATATAATACTAATAATGTAAAACATTCAACACACATTTTGTAAATGTATTATATACAGTATTTTTACAATAAAGTGAGCTTAAAATTAAGAAAATTTTAAGAGGAAACGTATTTACTGTTCATTAAGTGGAAGTGGATCCTCATAAAGGTCATCATCCTAGTCTCCCTCACATTCAGTCAGCTGAGGAAGAGGAGGGGTGGTCTTGCTGTCTCTGGGCTGGCAGAAGCACAAGAAAATCTGCACATAAGTGGATCCATGCCCTTCGAACCCATGTTGTTCAAGGGTCAACTACATATTTATACTTTACCACAACCCAATAAGGGTAGCTGTGATTATAGCCCCATTTTTTAGCCAGGTATTTTATTCAGTAGTAAATATTGTCTTTTGCCTTTTCTACAGCTTTTAGAATTTCTCAACGGCCCTGGTCAGTCAAGATGGACCCTGTGGTCTTGAGTTACATGGATAGTCTGCTGCGACAATCAGATGTCTCACTGTTGGATCCACCAAACTGGCTCAATGACCATATTATTGGGTTTGCCTTTGAGTACTTTGCCAACAGTCAGTTTCATGACTGTTCTGACCATCTCTGCTTCATCAGCCCTGAAGTCACCCAGTTCATCAAGTGCACTAGCAACCCAGCAGAGATCGCCATGTTCCTCGAGCCTCTGGACCTCCCCCACAAGAGAATTATATTTTTAGCCATCAATGATAACTCCAACCATGCAGCTGGGGGAACCCACTGGAGTTTGTTGGTTTATCTCCAAGATAATAATAGTTTTTCTCATTATGATTCCCATAGCAGGAGCAACTCAGTCCATGCCAAGCAGGTAGCAGAGAAACTGGAGAGTTTCTTAGGCAGAAAAGGAGACAGATTGGTCTTCGTGGAAGAGATAGCCCCTGCTCAACAAAACAGCTATGACTGTGGGATGTACGTGATATGTAACACTGAGACCTTGTGTCAGAACTTCTTTAGGCAGCAGACAGAATCACTGCTGAAGCTACTCACCCCTACATACATCACAGGGAAGAGGGGGGAATGGAAAGACCTCATTGCCAGACTTGCCAAAAATTAGCTGTGGGAGTATATTTGTGATTTTTGAAGTCTCCTCTGTCTGCCCTTCCCCATTTATGGGATGACTGCATTCTCAGTGCCTGAGGGAAGATGCCTAATAGAGGAAAGCTTAGTATTCTTATTTTTTCCTGAACAAATATTATCCTATGCATTATCCTAATGGACAATTTCACTTTAACCCTAGCTGAGAGCAATATGGGCTGTGAAATGTCTTGAAATTATACACCAAAACCGTACAACCAACTTATCTGAACATTTATTACATATGAGGTTCAAGTAAGACTTCTTATTCGTATAAAATTAATTTCCATTTGATCTCCCTTATCCACATTGGCTTATTCTAAAGGAAAACCAGTGTTCTGTAAAACAAATCAAGAATATGTGAAATCTAGAGGAATGCAAGGAAGAAAACTATAGAGTAGAACCAAAAACTTGTTGCGTGGCCTGCATAACTAAAGAGATAAGCTAGCTTGAAGTAGATCAAGGCCTAACTTGTATTTAAGTCCTAAATATTACCAAAATCAATTATTCATTTCTTTGTGATTTCTATTGGCCATGAAAGGCTTTCCCATCCATCTGCATAATCTTTGCAAATATTTGATAAAGATAATAACAGCCCATTTTCCTCTCTGTCTGGTTTCTAAAATGCTCTAAGAAAGGGGAAATCTGAGTTCATTAAAAAGAATGGCTGTAGGGTGGACCTCTTATGCTTACTGAGTGGGTTGACTTGCTACTCTGGATTGATAATAGCTTTTTTTTTTTACCTTATCTATTAGCCGCGCACACACTTCCTCCTTATATCCCAAGTTCTTTGGTTCTAAATCTCATAGCTGATAACATCCCATGGTTACCTGTTATTTCAGAAAAGTAGTTCTGCTTTCTGATAGTTACAAGTTTTCCATGCTATCCTTAATCTGGCAGAATTGTTTTCAGTTACGTCATGGTGATTTCATAGAGTTGGTTTGTTTTTAAAATACAAAAGAAGAAAAGTGTCCTTTCTCAACCCATTCACTTAATTCAAAATGCAGACAATGTAATTTTTTAAATGTGAAAACAAGAATAAAAAGAAATTCTATACCTCCAGAAGTACTGATCTGTTTTAGTTATTTCAAATAATTAACAATCAGATTAGATTATGAGACTTGAAAACCAAAAATTAGCTGCAGCCATGAAACTTATTTCGGCTACCTCCCCGAGCCAACCCTGCCCCCAGCTCTCATGGCCCAAAATAACCTCACCACCCACTGACCACAGAGGGCAGTAACTCAGTTCCTTTTAGCCAGGAAGGGAAAGCACAGTATGTGTGAGTAAGTACAGGTTACATAGCAGGCCTGAGTGAACAGGAGTTGAAACTAAAAGTCAAAGCGAAAGCTACCTAAAAGTTTCCCTTTAAAGTAATTATGTTTTTGAATTAAAAGGAGACCTAATGGAAGATGGGGCAGAAAAAAGATGAAATCTGGCAATCAGCCATTGAGGTGAACTAGGGAGGGAGGGACGTGAGGAAAGATACAGGTTGCTAATAGGCTACAAGTGAAGATAGGAAAGCAGTATTATTTCACTGACTGTTGACTTAGGCAGCTAGTCTAGACTGTGAAAGAGTCATATCCTCTCTGGGAAAAGTTGTCATCTTTCTATCTTTCTAAAAAACATGCAAAGTATATTTGTTTGAATGTCAGAGTATCTTCCATTGAGAGTTAATGCATATGAGTGCAATTTTTCCTAAGATCCTAGAAATGAATTATTATTTGAACAAAACTAGTCTTTAAAAAAAGATAAAAATCTAAGGTCTCCATTTCCATATACATGGTAGGATTGGACTATACCACAGGTTAGTCTCCTCATATAAACTTTTGAGTATGTCACTATAAATGTTAACATTATAAATGAGAGAATTTAAGAGTTGACTTCTATTTTGCTAGATACTATAAAAGCCCATAAGTTCTACACCTGCATAGCCATATACCATTAATGTTACATGATACAAAATAGGGAAAAAGGATCTTTTGATGGCGTTGTGCTCTCTTAGAGTTAAAATAATCCATTATGCAAAATTAATCTTCAAAATATTGAAAAGGAAAACAGTCTTACTCAAAATTGGGCTAAGCAATTAAACTGAACTACACTGCTTTCAAATATTCTCAAACTTAGAATCCTAGCACTCTGAGAGGCCAAGGCAGTGGATTGCTTGAGCTTAGGAATTCGAGAACAGCCTGAGCAAGAAAAAGAACCCTGTCTACTAAAAACACAAAAACTGAGACAAGAGGATTGCTTGAACCCAGGAGTTTAGAGGTTGCCATCAGCTACGGTGCCATGGTCCTCTACCCAGGGCGACAAAGTGAGACTATCCCCCCCCCAAAAAATCGAATATCCTATTGTATTGCCACATATGTGTACTCACACTTGTCTGACCTGTATCTCAATATAGACTCCAGAAAGGTCACTGTATGTAAACCCAGCTGTAGATGGTGGTAAAAAAGATAAGTATCAGTGGGGTTTTTGTTTAATAATGTCTAAACCACAAATATTTCCATACTTTGGGTAGGTATGTGTTGAATTTTACAAACACTGGTTCTAACTAAATCAGAACAATTTTAAAATTGCAAGTGGATTGTATTTCTGATATGTACCTTATTATTTTGAGTATTCTATAATTTTTACTCTATCCATAGTGACTATATGTTTTATGAAAATAATAATAGACATTTCTTTGAAATGGCAAAGTAGAATTTCTCAGTCACATGGTTATTTACTGATACTGGATGGAGTTTTTTCTTATATCACTTAAAATAGTAAAAGAGAAAATATTTGCAGAAATTCATGTGCTTTGGTATTAGAGCATGAATGTTTTAATCAAATCCAAGCTCTGTCAGTTATAAACTTGTAGCCTCAAGTCTACTTTGAGATTTAGTAGCATCAACTATAAAATGAAGATAGTAATAGGTTTAGGCAGGTACAATAAAGATTAAATATCATATGTAAAGTATACAGTAGACACTAAAATAAACTTTAGTTCCCTTCTGTCCTGCTCAGTTCATTTTAATACTAATAGCAGGTTTGAAAACTTAGTTTTGTATTGCCATGCATACACAGCTGTGTGAAAAATGGCCAATAAATACTGTCAGGTACAAAAGAGAAATTTTTTCAAGGATGGTAAATACCAATAACTAATTTTATACTGCACAAGGTGCTTTATGCACACAATATGTGGAAGTACCTTGCACGTTATATAGTATATAGTCACATACTGTATTACTATGTATATAAAGTACCTTGTACATTATTATATCTCTAGGGAAAAAGTGTATATAAAATCTCATTTAAGCTCATGCTCTCATGTTTTAACAGGTATTATTCCCATTGCATAGATAAGAAACAAACTCAAGGCTCAGCGCCTGTAGCTCAAGCAGCTAAGGCGTCAGACACATACACCTGAGCTGGCGGGTTCAAATCCAGCTCGGAACCCACCAAACAATGACAGCTGCAACCAAAAATTAGCCGAAGTTGTGGCAGGCGCCTGTAGTCCTAGCTACTTGGGAGGCTGAGGCAGGAGACTCACTTGAGCCCAGGAGCTGGAGGTTGCTGTGAGCTGTTATGCCACGGCACTCTACCCAGGGCTACAGGTTGAGGTTCTGTCTCAAAAAAAAGAAACAAACTCAAAAGCGTAGTCACATGGCCCCCATCTCTTCTCACATTTTTTTCTACCAATTCCTTTCTCCCTCTCCCAGAAAATGGTAACAAGAACTCCTTGCTTGAACATTTTAAATGTAATCTAATCTCATACATTCAGCTGGTATATTACAGAAACCAATGATGAGAAATTGTCATCTCGATTAATTGCTATTAGGCAGTAGGGCAGACACAATAAATGGCTTTGTTTTAGATATTAGATCATATTTGGATCAGCTCCCTTTATCGATCTCCTGATGTAAGGCACTTTAAAAGCCCAACATTGTAACTTCCTGTGTTTAATCACCTTTGATATTCTATGTGAAAGATGAGAAGTAGAACAAGAACAGCAGCCTGGGGAATCTCATTTTAAATAGAGGGATTGAAGAAACTGCATCAGGTAAATGGGACTAAACAAAGATGCTCTGCACAGAAGTAGAAAAATTGGTCATTAAGTTGTTCCAAAATGAAGCTGAAATTCTGTGGAAAAATCAAGTGCTAAATGCACTTAAATGAAATTGTCTTACGTAGGGAAAAACTAACATGTCAGCGTGTGAAAGGAAGTGGTAGTCATCTTTCGTGTCAGTAGTCGGGAAGAGTTACTACTCTGGAAAAATTCATCTTAGATTCTACAGTTTGCATTAGAAGGTAAGAGCTCCTTTCTAGATCTTTTTCCTCCATGTACCCAAAGCAGGCAACCTGTTTTTAGAAGAAAACTCCTCCCCCGTAATGCAAGCTCAGACAAGGTTTCCCACACGAGGCTTTGCTTCCCTAGCTAGCTCACACTCCAGCTCCCCACAGCTGCTACCTCAGTCTTCAAACCTGCAAAGCTCTCACCTCCACCCTCACTCTCCTACTTCAAAGAGAAAATAGAAGCCATCAGACAGGAACTCCTTCAACTTCTCTGATGCCAAATCTGCAAACCCACCTCTATCTGTCCCCACCTTAGAGCCTTTGCTCCTATTACAGTGATCCTCAGAGCTAAGCTAATCCCTCCATCTGTGCACAGGGTTACCGTGCAAATGATTTCTTCACACACAAGTCACCAACCTTTCTTCTACTGGATTGTTTTCCATCAACATTTTAATGTGTAAAATCAGCCAGGCACAGTGGTTCACACCTTTAATCCTGGCACTTGGGAAGGCCAGGCTTGGAGGATTACTTGAGCTCAGGAGTTCGAGACCAACCCGAGCAAAGTGAAACTCCATCTCTACCAAAATAGGAAAAATTAGCTGGATGTGATGGCACATGCCTGTAGTACCAACTACTGGGTGTGGTGGTACGCACCTGTAGTCCCAGCTACTCAGGAGGCTGAGGTAGGAGAATTGCTTGAGCCTTGGAGTAAAAAAAAAAAAAAAAACCATGTAAAATCTCCCCCATCCTTAGCTGGGTGTTGTGGCGGGCACCTTTAGTCCCAGCTACTTAGGAGGCTGAGACAAGAGAATTTCCTAAG